GTTACAGCTGATCGAGTAATAGCTAATTTCAGTTGCTCAAAGGCATCTACTGCATTATTGTCAAGTGGAAAAGATTTACACTGTACGAGTATTTGGATTTTTCAGGAGAAATTTGGAATCCACTTAGCGTAGTGTGCAAACATCCCGACAGCGCGTCGCAAAGAGGCAGCGTCAGAAGTTAGACGCATCCTATCTTCGTCTGGTTTTAATATATTATTTTTAATGCTATAACCAAGTAACTTAATGTAATCTTTTGAAAAGTGACATTTATTTTTATTTAGTGTAAGGTGATACTTATCAGCAGCCTCAAGAAATATTCGTAAGTTATTATCATGACAAGTCTGATCTTTACCGCATATTGTAACGTCATCCAGGTACGCAAAAGTTGCTTTCAACTTTTCTTATTTGATTATCCAATCAATAGTTCACTAAAATCCCGAGACACCATTTGTTACTCCAAATGGAATACGTGTGAATTGATACAAATTCCCAGCTGCTTCAAACGCAGTAAAAGGTTTGTCTTTGGGATCAATAGTTACCTGATGATAGGCACTCTTGAGGTCTATAGTACTGAACACAGAATATGTCGCTACTTTTGCAACAATATACTCCAGGTTAGGTAGAGGATAAGCATCCAAATCGGTAAATTTGTTGATCGTTTGCGAGTAATTAATCACCATTCTCTTATGGTGTTCGCTTTTTGTTACAAGCACTTGGGCGCGCCATGCTGAATGACTTTCCTCGATAATACCATCTATGAACAATTTTGCAACCTCTGTTTAATAAAATCAAGATCTTCTTGCGAATAGTTTCTTGATTTTATTGCTATCGGTTTACACAATGGAGATAAATTTTAGAAAAGAGAGACAGGAGGTACAGAATCTTGAACAACACTACAGATACGGAGAGTATTCCTAGGTCCACCAAAAGTGAGTTCAAGTGAAGAATGGTTTTTAAGAAAATCGTGACCAACATAGATTAGTTACACAATATATTAATGTTGTGATAAAGGTTATCTTCTAATTTCATATCTACAATGCAGTATTCTTCTACAAGGGCGACATGGTTTAAAGAGGCTAGATTTATAGCATGGTGACAAGAGATTCTCTTAAGATCAAGAATTGAGTTACAGAAGTTGTTAGCAATAAAGCTTAATGAACTACCTATATCAATTAGGGCTTCAGCCGTAGTGTTATTCAAATAAATTTGTATTGTAGCTTTACGTAGACAAGAATTAGCTTCTACAGCAAAATTAATGGTTGCCAGTTTTCCATTATTTGGGGAGATAGCATTTAGACAATCTTTCTTACTTCGACAAACATTTGCAAAATGACCTTTTTTTGAACACAATTGGCAATTAGTATTAAGAGCCGGACAATTAGTTCGTTGATGTACTTTACCTCCTCAGAAGAACTTCTTTTTTGATTATGAAACGGCCACGACCTCTTGACTAGTAGAAGCTTCCTTTGATCTTTCCGTTTTATTATATAGAGCATTAAGAGATAATCCAGGTTCATAACATGTCGAATTTTCCTCAGCCATTTCCATAGTTCTCGCTAGAGTGAAAGCTTCTTCATTAGCATTTTTCTCAGCAGTAACGACTTTGAAATAGCAGTCTTTGCTTAAATGCTTCAATACTTGAATATATTGGTCTAGTTTTTTATCACCAGCTTGTTTCCTGGAGGACAAGGCATAGCGGGCATAGAGTTCGCTTTTGGGCTTGACATATAAATTTTGCAGAATATCCAAAGCATCTCTTAGACTTTTACTATCGCTGATGAATGGATAAATGTTTGGTGAAATGTAATTTACTAGTAACTGTAGTCTAGTTTGCTCTACCATCGTAGGTTGACCCTCTCATGCTTTCGACACTTGCGTTACAGCAGAGAAAAATTTCAAAGGTGCTCTTCCAGTGGAGCCATTGAAGTCCAGCATTGTTAGAGGCAGGATCTACATCCAATCTTTCTGGGCATAAGTATTTATCCATATTTTAAATTTAAGTTGAATAAATTGTTCTAAATACAATACCAAGAATAAAGGTTTTATTCAACTTAAAATACAACTGACAGCTTTCTGAGTGCCTTTTAAAAGGAGATAGAAAACTCCGCCATTTTGAACCCTTATTACGTGTTGCCTACATCTTGGCACAATATTTTTAATAGGTGCGTTTTAATCATCCGCTTCTGCTTCGGAATTGTCAGTTTTCTTGTTTTAATCTGACAGGTTAAAACGACTAAACCGACAATTCCGGAAGCAGAAGCGGATGATTAAAACGCACCTGATATTTTGCTTGCTGCTGTCAGTGTCAGTGAATATTATTTTTGAAGTCACAGTTTAGTGCTAAAGAATCAGTTAGCTCACTCGGACCAGTTGAAAGTTCCAAAATAACATCCACTCCAGGGATACAAATTCAGGATACGCAGAAGACTGCTGTTTTATTAAGGCGGTTGTCATATATTGTATTATCTGAGTTGCACAGTGTATAAACTGAAACATTGAGATCCAAAGTGCCGACGCAGAGTGAGCGATCTGATTCTTTAGGTGTAAACTGTGTCACAGGGTTCAAAATGGCCGCGCCCTATGTTGGGCGTGTCGGACCTCTCTCTTGCCTCGTATAGTAATCAAAGTATGTGACTTACAAATATAATGACACTAACAAAACAATGATAAGACAGTAACTTACAAACTACATGGTAACGACATAGTAACTAGCACATCAATGGACAAAATAATAAAGAATGGCATTATAAGCAACTTTTATCATGATTCCTATACTTTCCTTATCTGTAAACTTTTATTCATTAAACAGATGGGCGAAGGTCGACCTTACGGATGCTGGACTATTTGTATATACAATTTTTCACCATACACCGTGGCATTTTCAACTTGAAATTGAATAACTAAAACACTTTAAATTGCCAATTACACTAACAAATAATAATTCAAAAAACGGCGGTCCTTGAAAATTCGCTAACGCGGAGATGAGCGTAGAATAGAAATGTCAGAACAATTCGGGTGGCGTCGTGGAAAAAATGGTTTTTAATTGGTGGTTAATTTACGGTTGGAATAGACAACATGCGCTATGCAATGTTACATCTCCAGTTTCTTTAATGTAAGGGTATATCTGATAAAATGAGAAAATTGTCACGAAGTAGCATAAGTAATTATTAACTCTTTTTTTTTTAAATCCCGAGGGATTTTGGCTAATCTGGAATTATCAAACAATAAAACAAGGCCTTAGTATTCTATGATAAAATTTTGAAAGCGTAAACTATAAATCTATATTATGTCGATCTGAGAATTACGTATTATCGTTTTATTGCTTTCTTGTAAAATTTACTATTTACTACTTCTGCCACTTCGTGATAAGGGTGACGATTTGTTCCAATCCGTTTCAAATAACTTAGTCATAGGTAGTTTAAAATTATTATCACCTTTGCATCCAAACTCCAGAGTAATTGTGATATATTGACATAATTTAAAATTTAACATTTTTCAGAAAAGATTTAAGAAGATGTCCATTCTATAATCCATCAAGAGCTATATTGTAATAATTAACAATTTTTTTAAAGCGTAATTTTAGACACTTTGTGAATTATTGAAAAACTATATCAACCCCACTTCACCTTACAGCATTCTTTTTACAACCCGCCCTAAGAGAGTATTTCGGTCTGAAAATAGTTACTACTTGTTTTTTAATATTCTAAATGCAACACTAAAGCGATAATCGTATATAATTGACTTCTGCAATAATTGTCGCTATTAAAATAAACCAGTTTAATGACTCACTATTAAACAATGACCAATAGCATTAAAGTAGAAGTAAAATTAAATGTTAAAATGTGCAGAAAAGAGTCGTTAAGAGAAATATGGTGATAAAGGTGAGCTAAATAAGAGAAAAAAAATCAAAATGTTTACTTTTTATTGATAACATAAAAAAAGAAAAATACAATAAATACACAATTATTTATGAGTCTAAATAATTCTTTAGAGCGCAGAGAAAGAAAAAAATATCAACATACAAAATAAACACAAAAGTGGCGTATTAGATTAGTCACAAGTAAAAGACCGTTTTGAAAATAAGTCAAAACAGCAAATAAAAGCAGTTCTTTAATTAATATAACATATCCAAGATGTCCTTTAATATTAAAAAATATATAAAAATAAATAATCACTCAAATATAGACATTATTTAAATCCTTACTCGATATTCTAGCACGAATTTAAAATCAATAGGATATATTATAATATTTAACAATGTACATGATTAAAAACGGATAAATGTATGATTTTGTGCGTACTATAAAAATTGAATATCATAAAAAAATATACTAGAGTATTTCACAGTACATAAAAAAATATAATTTTCCGTTACCAACTACTCAAATGCATTAAGCCGGAGATATGAGCTATAAAGAGCTATAAAAACAAACCAAATTAAGGAGTATTTAATTTCAATATTTATTAAAATTAATTGATAGAAACAATCATTTCTATTTTATTTACATGATTTTAGTCAATTGAGAAAAAAATACAATTTGAGCATATTTATTTTAATAGCACTATTTTTTTAGACCAATTTTACAGAAAACAATTACTATAATTATTAAGTTTTTATTATAAAATCTTTGGAATTACAAAATTACCGTAGTTTTGACAAGGTGTCTGAATTGTGCAATTTTTTTTAGATATTTTAATAGAATTAAAAGGCAGTTAGAAAGAAGACGATTGATTTTAGACAATATTTTTAGATAATTTTATATTTATATAATGAAAACAATTAAACTTAATTTAGATTTAAAATTTATTTGTACTATTAACGTTTTCCATCCAACTATATTCCAGTTCTATAAACATTTGTGCTAAACCAGTTACATGCCATACAATCAAGAAATAAAAAAAAATACTATAGTACAAATACGCAATGCAAGAAATGTGCAAGACTAGGAAGAGAGATAGAGGCAGAATGTAAGCTTAAATATAATAATATCGAGACTCACCTTGGCGATATTTTCGCCGAGGAATCTATGGCATTGGAATTGTTGGCCTTGAAGCCGCACTTTTGAATCTTCCTGCTGAGCCTCGACACCCATTGCTTCTGATCGTCGTGCGACGATGCGAGCAGAAGCAGTTCTTTGGCATAAGAAGGGTCGTAGTGTAACTTACAAGGTGGGACAGTGTCTTCTTTTCGTTCTAGGTGATCTTTGTGAACTTTTATTCTACATCCTGTAATAAATAATTAAGTTATATGCATGGAGGTAGTAGATAGAGGAGCCTTTATGCATATCTTATCTGCCTTGTTTAAAGTTATTGATTTATAAATTTTATTCTGTGTGCTTTATTTTTTTCAGTATTTATTCTGTTTATTTCATTTCTATGTAGTGTTAGTTGAAAGACCTTGAGGACAAAATGGTATCTTGTGCTTTACGCAGCTGAGACTGTGTAGTATTTATGTAGTCTTATGACCAGTAGATCGACGGCTGACGACCCAATCCGACACTGGTTGGAGTTAGCCTAGATAACCCTGTTGAAGAGACCATTAAACCTCTTAATATATTAAGAGAAAAAACAACAAATATAATTATATTAAAAAAAAATTTATATCTTCGGAAAGGATCTTTTTACAATTCCAGTAAATCGACTCGTATCGTATCCTGTTAAAGTATGGAAAGCAAGTAAGTTGTTTGTTAGACTGTCATTAAGAGCTATTTTATGAACTGCCAAGTAACCAGTAAAATTTCTAATTTAGGCTTTTAACCAAATTTCACTAGGAAGGTTTTTAAAATACACCAAAATAATAGACACATCGGTATTGTTAAGAGTCAATAAGGCGTTGTAGAAAAACCTTCCATGGACTTCCGATTCGGACATCGTCGTGGCAACATTGAAATGGTGTTCTCCGAATCGGGAGTCCAAAAGTCCTAAAACAATCACTAAATATCGAGTGTAAAAGTGACCATCCGACTTTAAATATAAAACTAAATTAAATAAAATATTCAGTGCCAAGAAGTAAGAAGAATATTTTAACGAAATATTAAATACAGTGGAAGAGTGAGGACAGAAGTCCGACGCACGAGGGTGCAGCCTTTCCACTTAACAAAATTTGAGAAAAAAATAGTACTGGGTAAATAATTCAGAAGAGTTGAGCTCATATAAAGTTAAAGAAGAAGAAGAAAAACGTTCCATTTTTGCACGGAGTACATAATGTAGAATTCTAGTATCAGCTTCAACGTGGTTTGATTCTAATAGTACTCGATTTTCTTCACAAATATCAATATTGGATTTAAAATCTGGAATGTTAATAAATCCGCCACTCGTTACAAATTGTATCTTATAATCATGGAATCAGTAATCAGGAAATTCATTCGATAAAATATTGGTTAACTGTTTACTATTAAATATTCAGTGAATAAATTAGTTTCATTGTTATGGAAACGGGATCTTTCAATTAGTAAAATAATCTTAGTAGTTGATATCGATGACACCACATAAAAAAAAATAATCCTAGATAGATTTAGAAGATCCTCCTTAACAACATTTTTAATCGAATTTTCTATGTAATGATCAAAAACAACGTCAATATGTTGTGCTTTATACTTATTTTGAAATTCAATGTTTTAAAATATATCAGAATATTCCTTAAATCAAAAGACAAGTGAAGATTCCAAAAATAAAAAAAGGTCGACCAAAAATCGGTTATCGTATTTTTAATACAAATCCCTATGCACGTCAGCAATGACGTCGGTCATTCGTCATAGTACTACCAACTAATTAAAATGTCCCTAACTAAACTAATAATCCGAAAATGTCACGAATATTTACGAGCATTCATGAACGTAGTGATATTATTAAAAAACCGAAAACTGTAATGGTGATTATTTTGATAATTTTAGAATTATTTCAATTAATTAGGTTATACACGTCCTATTCTTGATAATATCAAATTTATATTAATATCATTACATGATTAGTAGAGAGCGGAATGTATGCAAAATGCATATATATGCATTTTTTGCATATTTTACCAAAGTTCAGAAAATATTGCATATTTTTCCAAAATTCAGAAAATATTGCATATTTTACCAAAGTTCAGAAAATTTAAGAAAATATTGCATATTTTCGAAAAAAAAAAATGTATTACTATACTGTGCAAATCAAAAACTGTTTTAACAGATTATACACATATATTTGAAATAAAGACCTTTTAAATTTTTGTATTTGTTTTTAAGTGTCACTTCTTGTAAATTCTTGTTAATTAGTTCTTGGAGGGTGGCATGCACTGGGTTTTTACCTTCTTAAGAGATTAAGGCCATTAAGGTAATTGTTAATAGATGGTATTTACACAAATAAAGTATTACCTACAATGCAATAAAACGGTTTATATAAAATTCTCAGTAATTTCTTGTAACCAATCTACCCTAACATCGGAATATTTTGAATGTTTTTCATTCGGTTTAATGATAGTATCCACGTTATTTGCCTAGTGAAAAGTCTTGTAATAATTTGTTGTTTTAAAAGTGTCCTAAAATGTCGAGAATTTCTTCGTGGATTATTAACTTTCCAGAGTTGGAAATCAATGGGGATAAAGTTTTTTGTAAAGCTTGTGCCAAAATAGTGGTTTGCGAAAAAAAATTCAAAGTGGTTCAACACGTGAAAACATCATTGCATAAAGCCAAATTGCAAAAAATGAAATCACAACCGGTTCAACAATGCGTTGTGAGGTCATTTCAAAACGCCGACAAAACAAAAAGTGACAAGGAGGTATTTAATCAGGACTTGTGCAAAGCTCTTGTTGCGGCAAATATTCCATTAAAGAAGTTACAAAACCTACATCTAAGAGAATTTTTACAAAAATATTGCAATCAAACCATTCCTGACGAGTCTACACTCAGAAAAAAAAAATGTACATGCTATATATATATATAAATGTAATAGAAGAAATTAAAGTTTTACTGGATGATAGCAATTTTTACATCATTGTTGATGAAAGCACAGATGCTTGTGGAAGATATATGGTACATCTTATGATTGGAGCCTTAAAAGAAAATGAACCAGGTACATATTTAATTGCATCAAAACAGTTAGAAAAAACTAACAATACAACTGTTACCCGATTTATTCAACAATCTCTAGCAGAATTTTTTTTACCAAATCAAATTCCCTCAGAGAAGTTCTTAGTGTTTTTGCCTGACGCAGCACCATATATGATAAAAGTAGGACAAAACTTAAAAATATTTTATCCAAATATGGTCCACGTTACTTGTCTTCTGCATGGAATAAACTTAGTTGCAGAAACTGTGAGAACAGAATATCCCTTGGTTAACAAGCTAATTTCGAATGTGAAAAAAATATTTTTAAAAGCCCCTTTAAGAGTGCAGTTGTATAAAGAGAGAATGGTAGGGGTGTGTTTGCCCCCGGAACCCGTAATTACGCGATGGGGGACATGGATTAAAGCAGCTATATTCTATGCAGAAAATTTTTGAAGCAATTAAGGATTTAATTTTGGATATAGAAGACAATTTACAATGTGTAGTGCAAAGTAAAGAATTGTTAAAAAATCCCCTTGTGCCTAAGCAACTTGTGTTTATAAAGGTTAATTTTAGTTTTTTACCTGATGTAATAACTTCATTGGAAAAGAAAAATTTAAGTTTAATCGAATCAACAAATTTTATTGCAACAGTTTCCGATAAATGTAACAATGTTCCTGGTGACATAGGCCTTAAGATTAGAAAAAAATTAAATACAACTTTATTAAAAAATGAAGGGTTCAATGAAATAAGGGAAGTCAAAAACATTTTTGAGGTAAAATTTTCCAAAGAAGTTTTACGTTGGCCCTGTACATTACTTCCAAAATTACGGTATTGTCCTATTACTTCGGTAGATATTGAAAGGACCTTTTCTATATCAAAACATATTTTTACAGACAGAAGACAAAAGTTTTTAATAGAAAATTTCGAAAAATATTTAATTATAAATTCCTATTATAATATTAATATTTAATATTTTTATACTATTCTATACTTAACTTCTACTAGTTTTTGTGTTTCGTTTGTTTTAAATAAATTTTTATATTACATATTTTCTTGTTTTTTTTTCGTGTAATGGCTTTGATAGCGTACCAAATTAGGAACAGCAATGTTAATTAGAACCCAACAGTGAATGGTCAAGTGGAAATATTCGCTAGGCATCAGAATTAATTTTTAAATAAATTAATTAATTTCAAAAATCGCGTCCCGGCTGGAATTTGAACCCGGGACCCCTAAGTCCACAGGCCAACGCACTAACCACTGAGGTACCCACCCCCTACTTTTTTTAAGTATTTTTAACAAATATGCATTTGCATATTTAGGCATAATTGGACAAAATAACTGCATATTTTTGGTAAAAACGATGCATATATATGCGCATATTTTGTTATATATTGATGCATATATTCCGCCCTCTAATGATTAGTATCCCAAATGCCATACTTTATATTAAATAATTTTGACATTCTGTACGCCAATGAAACTCGTATTCATATAGACGAAATGTCATTACGGCAGTTGTATCAATTAAAGGGAATACAGAAACATATATAAAAGTATATCTACTTAAGACACTTGTACCTAAAGAAATGTGTTAACTGTAATTTACTAAATCAGTGACAAGAGATAAGAAAAATCAAACTACTATTTAATAAACCCAATTTATTAATGAAACAGTAGTTATGAAAGATATCTATGAAAGATATGAATACATTAGTTATGAAAGGTATCTATGAAAGATATGGAAAATATCTATACACAAATCTGGTTTTAAAGATACATAAAATAATTAAATTATAGTAAAAAATGTGGCAATGTAAACTCAGTACATAATACCTATATTAAATATAAATACAAATGATACCCAAAGTATGGTAAATTGTTTACCTAGGATATAGATCTATACCTGTGGTGTACAAAGACATTTGTCTTGAAGGAAATATAAATAGGTTTACACCTTAGATAAAAGAGACCAGAGATATAACATACACCGGTTTTAAACCTGCGCAAATGTTGCCAATTTCTAAAGAAGGGTTAACGGAGTGGGGGAACTGGGCGGCGACACGCGGCGACCCGAACTCTGTGACAGGGACCGGACTTTGTTTATTAGCATCTTAATGAACTATTAGGTTTATTTAAAAGGTGTTTAATCGAATTTTGTATTATGAAATAAAATTTACGTGATTTTTTAATATCAAACAGATGCCACGACATTTTATGTAAAGAGAAGACCTTTTATAGAATATTTCGTTAGCGTTTATTTACTACGGCCTTTTTTGTAAGAGACTACACTAAAATGTTGAAATAGAATATTGTTAATAGAGTAAGAAATGGTACTCATTGTCTGCAAGAGATAGAGAGGGAGGGAGAGGGAGAGGGAGAGAGAGAGAGAGAGAGAGAGAGAGAGAGAGAAAAACTGCCAAAGGGAATAGTTCCTGTAGGGCAAACCCTTTCCCCGTCCTCTGAATCATCGTCAGGAAGTTAGGGTTCCTTCTGAACTTAACCCCCTAGCCGTGTGTTGTCTAGAGGCAATTTAAATACAAATTGGACCCCTCTATATAACCCGTGGTTACCGCTAAGAGTGGACTTAAGGGTGAGTCAGAAGGCCTATAATCTCACTCTTAACATTATCTCACATGTGAACATGGCCCATTTTTGTGATCAGTTTCTTGTTCAGCAAATTTACAAAAAAGCAGTGATCAGCAGAGGTATGAGATCTCTATATATTACCAGCATGATAACCAGACAGTTTTTAAAAATATAACATTAAGTAATGTTTTTGAAATTTTGGTTACTCTGGTAGGTTTAGATATATTATAAATCAAGTTTCCAAAAGTGATGGTTAATGTAAATTTTACACTCTTTTAATTTTTAAACTCTAATAAATCAACACATGGTAAAACTTTACTTTTTACTATTTTCACTTGTACACTAACTACTGTCAACACTTTTTATTAACTGCAAAATATTAATTTGCATCTTCTATGTCTTGTTCAGGAGGAGTTACTAGTTTATTTTGAAACAAATCACTTTCATTAACTAACCCTTATTGTGTGTTCTAATTATTACATTCAAACTGATTGGGAATTTTTTTAATTTTGAGTTATTTTTATTAGTCTTTGTTAGATTTTGAAGTAGATGGAACAGAGTCATAAGAATGTTCCTTAATAATTGGCAGTTTTAAAGGAGAGTTTCTTTTTATTAGAGATGTGGCAGCTGCAACATAAAAAGAATTAAATAAACATTAAATGAAAAATATACCTAGGTATTACCTTTATAAGTACCTATAAATCTTTAAAATGCTGAGAACAAACTTTCCTTTCATAAATTTTACTTCCCTATTTTCAAGTTTTGAAGCATACTCTTCTTGCATCCACAAGTTCAGATTTTCCACTTTTATATTACAAAATTACCTTACATCTACCGGTTTTAGGAAACCGATGAAATGTAACAGAATGCCATTTTTTTCATGAAATAATTATACAAGGATTGCATTGAAGCCACGGTATTGAGGCACACAAGTGCCTTCCACTCATTTTACTGTATTTTAAAATAACAATATGTATTCTATTAAACGTCTAATTTAATAGAGATAACAAAAATTTTATACATTAGCTTAATATTATTAAATAAAATATTTCAAACGAAACATTTTCTAACCAAAAACACCATTTAATGACATAACAACAACTAAGAAACATAAAACGCCAACGCGAAGGCAGCCCTATTTTCACGTCTAGATCGATACCCAACTCCATTTAACATAAGATTCGATTATTTTCTAGCGAATAGTGAGCTTCTCGGGATATCCCGAGTACGAAAGATGAGAATCCCACTGCCGTAGTCACAACGTATGGTTAAATTTGATTGAGCCGGAATAGGCAACACCTAATACATTAAAATGTATTTTGGATAGTTGCACTAGTAAATTTAAATATTTAATTATATTTGATGTATCTTTAAGAACTTAGAATAATAAAACGCTACAAGGTATTGTTAATTCTATGTAGTTTTAATCTTTTTCTATTGCACATACAGATGTTTTTGCATCTAGGTACATATTTTAAGAATAATTTCTCATTTTAAATTTATTTGATTTTGTATTACAAAATGTTTATTCTTCTTCTTAAATAAAAATAAATTAATCCCCAATAGGTATACTACCTACAGTTGTATTTTCCTTTACTATTATGTTTACAACATTTTTGTTCAGATGTTCATTATGCATAAAGGAATTTAATATCTTCCATTAGTTATATACAATTAAAAAATTAAAATTAATTGTTAAAATAGAACCTTAAATTTTAAAAACTTCCTATATTTCTCAAGTATTCTGATGATTAGATAACACTGCAAAGTCGTGACTTCTTAAATAATCTATGACCTGCATCGATATTTGTATTAGAAATACTATACTCTAATTTTTCACACACTTTAACTCAAAATGAAAAAGATATACTCACTTCTACATTCCAAAGCGGGAGGCGGCCTGAACATATTCCACATGGGTTTCGGACACACCTCACATGTCGTAGGCATGTGATAGGAAATGTTAAGGAATTCATGGCCTTTATGCGATAGCATTCCAGGTTTTTCTTCGAAGTTTCTCATCGACTGACTGACATCTAGAGCTGTCGTTTGTTCGTCCGTTTTCCGAGCCTCGCCTTCGCCGGCGTAGAGAAGCTGGAATATTCGAGGGATGTCTTTAGAGTCGGCGCGAATGACATCACCTTGTGTAACTGAACGAACATGGAACACTTTACTAGAAGTAAAAAAAGTTAGTTTAAGAGAAATTTATATATACTAAGAAGATTTTCTGATTAAAAGTAGTACAATTAAAAGAAATATGCTTAGGTAAAATATTACTGTTAAAGTTGAGAATTCAAAAAATACTATTGGCTATAATTTTTTTATTTTTCATTAATTTCGATTTGTCCCGCTTGCTACTTTTTGAAATATGGTCACTTTAAATATATGTATTACAATATATTTTGTAAATTCCGATGGCGTGGGATTTAGTAAGTAATTTGATCATGCTCAGTAGCACACTATCGTAACTCTCTAATAAGCTCTATAGTCTCTTGACGATTCGATGATTTGACAAAGAGGACATTTTAAAATTCAAAGTTTCTAGAGGAATACAATTTCCATAGAAACTTCAACTGTACCTACTTAATCATTTTGCCGAAAAAGAGAATGTAGATCAGAAGGGGAAAAATGTCATTATATTTGGTTTGTGCGGTGGAAATTTAGTTAAAGATGATATTAAAAAGGTATTTAAAAAAATGAAGTTTGAAATTGAAGATAGTAAATATGGAATACAAACATTGCCAAGTAAGGAATCTAGAAAACCAGTACTAGTTAAATTGAAAGAAAAGTCAACCAAAGATAATATTGAAATTGAAGAAAACGATAAAATTAGATACACTGGAATGTGGAATTAATGAAGATCTACCAAAGAGTGTCCGGATGTTGTATAATAAAGCCAAAATTCTTAAAAACCATGGCTATAGATTTATATGGTATAAGAATGGGACTGTGTATGCTAGGAAAAATGAAGGGGACAGGTTTATAATAATAAAACATTCCCTACAAATCGATTCTATCATAGACTCCTAATATTTTATATTTTTGTCATTAATTTATTCTGTAGAAGTTAGAATGTAATCTTTTATTTCAAATGGCTATTCTAAAAAAAATTTATTATTGGTCATGTTAATGTAGGGTCCTTGATCCCTGTTGTTTATGATATCAAATGTCTATTACATAAATATGACCTGGATGTTTTAGGTATAACAGAAACGTGGTTAAACGATGAAGTGGCTAATGATATTATTAGGGTAAAAGGTTATGCATTTTTGAGAATTGATAGGGGTAATAATAAGAGAGGGGAGGTGTAGGAATATTTATTAAATCAATCATAAAGGCAAATATTGTTGTCGAATGCTCTGTTGTAAGAAACGAACTTGAGCAAATATGGATCTCTTTCAAAATAGGAAATATCAATTTTGCTTGTGAGGTAGTTTATAGACCTCCTAGTAATAATGCTAGATATGCAGTTCATATATTAGAAGAATCAACAGATTTTAATGTGCCTAGGTGTGATGAAGTAATATTAATGGGCGATATGAATTTAGATTTACTAAAATCTAATAACACAACAGATATTTTTAGTGACATGTTAGAATCTTTCGGTCTGAGACAACTGGTAAATAAACCCACGCGAATAACAAAATATTGGATACTATCTGTATTACTAACCCTGATTTAATTATAAATGATGTTAAGCATGTTGATCTGTATTCTGTTACTGATCATCAACTTACATTTTGCAACTTGATTACAAAAGTGCCCAAGAAAAAGGAGAAGTTTAAATGTTTTAGAAATTATAAGAATTTTAATATATATTATTTTAATAATGATTTACATTCCCTAAATTGGAATCAAATTTTTTATTCCACTAAGATCAATAGGAAAGTTGACATATTAACTAATAATATTAAATATTTGTTTGATCAACATGCTCCATATCGCAGAGTACAAATCACGAAACCAAAAGCACCGTGGTTGTCAGATAGATTACGTAAACTAAAGGGAGATAGAAACAAGTTACTGAGTAAATTTAAGAGGACGAGAGATCCAAATGATTGGGATGAATACAAGCGAGTAAGAAACTTTGTTACAATGACTGTAAGAAATGAGAAGCGCCCATATCTAGAGCAACTAAACAGAACTGATAATAGTAGGGATTCCAAAAGACATATAATAATTATTTTGTGGACTCAGTTTTTAAATTTGATATGTGAAGTAGATCCCGAGTTAGTTAATTATTACAATACACATAGAGTCTCAAATGGTCCGAGTTTCAATTTACAAACTGGTTTCAAAAAGGATGTTTTAAATGCAATAGGAAGTATTAAATCTAATTCAGCAGGTTCGGATTGTATAACTTTAGATGTGATAAAACTTTTATTGTCCACATATTTTGCCTCATTTAACACACATTTACAACTATTGTTTGACAGAAGAATATTTACAAGAGTTTCTTAGTTAATGAACTGGGTAATGCTCGCTTAAAGATAAATCAAACTCTGTCTAATATATTCGAGTATTCAGTAAACATGGGCTAAAAATAAATCCGGCAAAAACTCAAGCAATATGCTTTGGTAATGTTACCAAAGTTATAAAAGATAATTTGAATATCGAAATTGATAATGTGGTAGTTAAGGACGGGGCATCCCTGTGTATTAAAATTGTATGTGTAGACCAAAAGTTAAATCGACAGTTTTCCGAATATGTAGTGTTTAAAAATCTAATTTTTGGCCAAATTAAAAATAAAGGTCTAACTTAGGTCACCTTACTATTGAAAATTAATAAATTTATTATTTTCAATAAAAACCAATCATGTAAAATAACCCCCTTTTATTTCATCTCAAAGGTGCCGTCTAGAATTATTTTAACCTCGATGTCAAACAAATAATAAAAAAAAAATGTAATACGACCTAAGTTCAACCTTTACTTGGAATTTGGTACACTCAGAATATTTAAATATTGTATATTTTTCAAAACGTGTAGATTTGAAATTTGTAAGTCACTTTCTTTGAAAAAACATGTCAAAACGAATTTGGACCAAAAATGGCGTCTAATTTAACTCTAAATAAACCCCGAAAAACCAATAATTACTTCATGTAATGTAATAAAGATGGTGCTCCGATCGATAATATTTTGACTAGTATTTGATTATTTCCGTTTATATTATGTGTGTTTACGGGGGATATACGAGATGATAATACTGCCTCTGATACTGTTTATATGATACAATTGGAAACGACCTTTTTTCGTCGGCACTCTTTTTTCTGACCTTTTGACACGCGCCTATTTGTTATATGATTATCGGTTATTTATCAACTAAAAGTATAGGAAATTAGTACATTGTGAATGATAATATCATTTTAATGCTATTTTTGAAACTAGTTCAAAAGTTGTATTTAACGATACTCAATGTTTCATTTTACCGTCAGTTTTAGTTTGACATATCCGTCATTTTATGTTTACAAAGCTCAGTTTCTATTCGAAAGTAAGAGAAACAGTCAAAATAAAATGCGAAAAACACTTTCTATCAATTTCGTTTATGTCAACTGAAAGCGACAATTGCTGAAGACGTAACAAATAAATTAGATCGAGAAATAAAAAAATCTATACTATAAGTAACATACCATATATTATACCTGTTAAAATAAATCAAAAATAAGAGAACATATCGTTGACGTATATACTTTTCCATCTGTGTTTAGTGATTACCAATTGCAAATTACGTATGAACATGCTTCTGCGCAAAAAAAAAACATTATTTCAAGTACTTGTATTATTAAAGTCCATTAAATTATTATTTTTATAAATTTGCTAATCTTTGCACTTTAAGTTTCATTATATGGGGTATCCAGACATTTTAATCCTCGTCCTCTTCTATTTAAAATTATCTCAGGTGCCATATATTCCGAGTAAAATTTTTCTAATTTTTCAACCATATTTTAAAAAAAAATGGGTTGAAAATGAATTTTTTCAACAAATAGTGGATTTTCATCTCCAGTATATACTACAAAGTAGCACAATTTTCTTTGAGCTATACCTAGCTGTCCTTGAATCTAAAAGTATATAAAATCATTATTAGAAAATCGAACATAAAAAGAATATTAATATTGTAGTATCATTTCTAGCACATTTCTTAAAAATCATGAATTATTTTAACATATTGAAATTTTTCACCTGGTAAAAGTAGTTATGGTTTTCTTTTAAATGAATGTCACCATCCTCTATTTTTAAGCATGGAAATGGGTTTGAATATTAGGTAATGTGCGCCAATAATGTCAAATTATGACAATTCGCAGAAAACGTCAACTTTTTATTTAGATTTTAATGGGCAAAAGCCTACCTACTTTGGATATTGATCGTAGAAAAAATATATTCAGAATAATGAAACATTATTATTAAATAACAAGTTTTTTATTGTCAAATTTAATACGTAATATTATTTTTTAATTGCAAATATTTGAATGTTAAAATTATAGCGTTTAATTTTTTTATTCAATGACGAACTCGAGAGTGATAGAAAAAAAATACTACCTACCTTTAATGAGGGAAGTCGATGTCAATTTATCCAAAAATAAAACTGATTAAAATGTACAATGAAACTCACTAGGACACTTGGCACAAATAAATCAATTTTCTATTAAAGAAAATAACACTTATTAAAAACAAACAACACAATAAAACACTTCAGAAACGTGTGATGTAATTTTGAAAACTAAATACCCGTAAGCTTGTTTGTAAATTTATACTCTTAACTCCTTCCCCCAGCCTTCATTAAGTTGTAATGAAGTCAATTTTTCTCAATCAATTTATTTTCATTTTTCATTATTAATAAATATTAATCGCGGTTGAACGGCTAATTTTCAGATGCGCGAACGCCACTCGAGGTATCGATGCGCGATAGCTTTGAACGTAAGTGGGATTTTCGATTGGGAGAGGGACATTTGTTTGAACGATAGCGGAGATGCTATTAAAATTATTAGTTCGATATAAATTTTGATTGCCAGCAGTTTAGTCTGATAAGCCGCAATAGAAATCTAAACACCGCCGATATTTTTTTCCGTTTTCAATATTTACGAATCCGTTAGGTAAAAAAACCTTGTTCCGCTTTTTACATTTGCAATTGAGACGGTATTTCATTTTAAATAGCGAATTAGTTTGTAGGAATAGGAA